AATTAATTAAGGTTTTTAATTGAGATAAAAAAATCAGTGTCACGAGCAGGATTCGAACCCACGATCTTCGGCTAGATACGCCGCTGCACTACCACTTGAGCTATCGTGACCTCGATCCACAAGGACACCAACTTCTTATCTCATCCCCACCTTTTGAATTTTCCCTCCTTTTTGCCATTTTTCATATGTCGTGTAATCTATTTGATTCTCGGCGACAAATGAAATGGCGACGGAGAGCTTTAGTGAAGGTACACTTCATATTTACTTATTAAATTCACTAGTTTTAGTGGTCCGCTTGACCAGTTAATATATTTCAATTAATTAAGGTTTTTAGTTGGTTAACTTTTGGACGATGTTACATAATAAATGATTTGATTTTTATTGTGTCTATCATAAAACCGCACAATCGCAGGATAAATATCTATTTTTTCACATGATAGTTGTTTCAAAAGGTTCTTAAAATTAGGTATCCCACCAATTGTAATTATTCATTTACTAACTTCACTACTTACATTTTTTACTGTTTTTTTACACAAGTTAAGCATAACCTCGTGTCACTTTCAACGAATGTAAATGCAATTACGAACACTTACAGCTTGTAAAAACGATAGGTTTGCTCAATATACTAAGCAAATAATGTTTAAATTCTGTAAATATTTGTTGAGCACTTCATTGACCATACTGGAAACGGTGCAGCAATGGCAAACAACCCTCGATCAATCATCATTATTAACGTTGACATAGCCATGAAATATTTACTAGTTTGATTAACTTAACCAATCTTAAAGAATGTTTTATTCTTACATAAAACATTTTGAACTAGAGAAGTAAATTACTCACAGTCATTGAACGTAGTGTAAGCAATAAATTTATTTTACTAATTTAATTAAGCTTGTATTAATTTCAGTTTATTAAAAAATCTGAAAATTATAAAATGCAGTAGTTCATTTTTTATTATTATTTTTTTCATCCCCCTTTTTATTGTATTTATTCAACTAGTTATCATTCTTTCTGGCCTGGATCGATCCATAAAGCACGTACATCCTTCATATCAAGTTTTTTATTGTCCCGTATCATTTTAATATCCGAGGTGAATAAATTCCAGAGACGGACGTGAAATATTTGTTATTTTATTGTGTCTTGATACAGGAGACAAATATTGGCCGGGGAAATAAATCGGCAAAGTTGCACAGATTACGGTTTTTTTTATATAAGCAAACTTACCAATTTTGCAGGAAAACCCTGTCGTCGTGGGTTCCCGCGCTTTTAATTAATGCTGATTAATTAAAAATAGCGTTCATGGTGATAAACAGATGTCAGACAATCAAATTATTGAATAAATGATAGTTAAGATGAAAAATATATTTTTTGAATCGAAAAACTTTTCATCAATATTTTTAATACTAAAATTTCATCTTTATAACACTTTCATTCCAGTAAAACATAATACGATGATGTAATCACATTAAAAAACCTCATGTATTACACACGAAATATAATCTCTTGTTTATCACCAATAATAAGTACCAATATTTTTATTTTTTGTTCAATTGGAAAGTTTAAAAATAAAATCCGATTGAAAATTACACAAAAACAAAAAATACAAGTAATTTACTTGAGACATTTAAATATGCGTGAGTTCTGCTAAGTACATGCTAATGATGGTCTTAGCAAACTAAGCTCAGTTTTAAAAGGAAGACATAAACCAATTTTTTTTTTCTTCAAATAATGGAGGTAAAATAGACTTCAGGAGATTGGACGAGTGATTCGAGCGCTGACTCATATTGCCATGCTAGCCGTCCTGGGTTCGAATTCCGGTATGGCCCATGACTTTTTTGATTGATAACATAATATATAAAAGTTGTTGTAAAGCTTTTTTTACCTCTGGTCAGCAACACCAAATAGGCATTATGATAATTAAATTGTTTTTACAGTATATACCACGTTGATTTCAAAAAACAGTATTAATTTGGAAATAACAAATTGATTTTTATTGTTCTATATATTAGTTTTAAAAAAACAGCTAACAGTCTAGGAATATTTGAGTCCCAAAAGTACTAAACTTAGGGAGATAGAAATATGCTCCAAAAAATTTGGTAATTTTCAATAGATTTTTATTATTTCATATTCACATATTGCTTAAATGTGTTACTGTCTTATCAGAAGATCCATACTGTTTGTTAGAAAATATATTTATATAAAAAAATTGCTACAATTATTCAATATTTCACCAATTAAATCCAGTTGAAAATATGAAAATTGATTTAGAGGCTCTCATTTCCCTTAGGGTTTTTGACTTCTCACAAGAGATTTAGCGTAGTCATTAGTGGCTAACATTGAAAACTGGCAGGTAATAAACGTATATTTTAAACGAAGTAAGCTCTTTATAAAGTTGAACTAAGTCAAATGTAAATTTTTCATCAACATACTGTCTGAGCTCGACGTTCAAACAAAATCCAAGTTAATACCGAAACTTCTATACAATATTTAATTTAAATATTATCCCAAAAAGTTTCGTTACAAGGCGTTATCGGCTGTGAGTTACTGTAAAATAAATATCATTAATTATCCTCTTGTCGTCGAGGGCAGTTCTGGGACCAAATTAAAACAATACTCGTCCGTCGGCATTGTTTTACAACGGGTAACGGTCGATTGATTCCGAAGAACAATGCCGGCTGTTAGAGACTCATTGTTGGTCCTACTAGCAAGGTTAATATAACGGTTATTAACTTGCAGCACGTGCTTCCAGATAAATTGCCCATTTAATTTGTTTTAAAGTCCACGTGCCAGGATAAGTCTAGAACCAGAACGAAGGATCCCCCATCTCAGACAAGCTTCACGTTTTTTATATTTTTAATCTAACTAACCCATAAAAAATCTTGGAAGTATATACGGATTCAATTTAAAAGAATTAGATACTTGGGGCTATTTGATTTATGCTCTGAGCAAAAGACCTTGTATAAAGCTGTAAGTATTTGAGCTTTATGATCATCATGGACAAAATTCAAAACTTTTCTGAAAATGAGTAATAAATAGGAAAGTGTTCATAAATGGACGAGCAGACTATCCAATTGGCAATTTAAAAAAATTAAAACTCGATATTTATTATAAAAATTCATTATTATTGATATAACACAAAAACTTGTTATGAATAATTTACCTGTAGTTAAAAAAATATATAACTTATTATAGGTTTGTTTTAAATAACATGAAAATTTATTTGACTAATTTGTCTGTTTTATTAAAAAAAAGTACGGATTGCATGTGATTTGTCCACGCAAAATTGTCATATGTGGTTTAAAGGAAACTGTATATATTGAATTTTTTTTTCAATGATGATGATGGGAGTAAATTTCAGAGACTAGTAAATAAATGTGTAAATGAATTTCTTTAAAAAACCACATGGATTTGTTTTAACAATAACAAAAAAATTATTTTTATTTTAAACCATATAGTTTCATTATTTCGAAAACTGACATACCTATGCACCCTAATACCCACACCACGACTTTCGCCGACGACACAGTAATCTTCTCTTCCCTTTCTGACCTTATTCTTGCAGCAAAAGTGGCAAAGCTGGAACATCAAATTAAACGAACAAAAAGTCGACACATGGCGTTCAACGCATGAGACACCTTGGTTCTTCTTGCACTGCAGATTTAACACACATAAAACAAAAAAGACAAGAAATTACCCGAAGATACGGAAAATTCAAATCGGTCTACTTGTACCCAAATCCGCTGTTAATATATGCAATAAATTTTCAATATATAAGACGCTAATTATACCGATTTGACTTACAGAGACAAGCTTTGGAGTCAAACCAAGCCATCCCACATCCAAAGAATCCAAAACTTTCTATCACAAGTCCTCCGACGCATCCTCAGCGCTCTCTACCATGTCACTAACGAATCCGTTCAGAAAGACATGACATTCATGAAGAACATAATCCAAACACGATTCCACAACTTCCACTCCAAGCTCTGCTTTCCACACCGATCCACTAACTCAAATACTCCCTTCAACGTCCCGCCCTAACAATCCTCCAGTCCGCCTAAAAAGACAGTGGCCCCCAAACCTCGTAGCACAACCCTAACCCAATCAACCGCCAAACTTGAACTCTGAGAAATCCATCATTGAACGGCTCTCCCGTTGTCTGACAGATTATTCCCAGATCTTTTACATCAATTGTTGAATATATAAATTGAAAAGAACGAACAGAAAAAAGTTGTACACTAAAAGTTTAGGGATCAGCCAGACGCTCGACATTTTCCGAATTCAAACTGCCCGAGTGGAAATTCTGCAAAAATCCTCGATGCTCTATTTAAAAAAAACGACACTATAACATTTACCTGTTCCCTTTGCCCAAGAAGTAACTTCCTTCTTTACAGGAATTTTTACAAAAACCTTCTTATTACAATACATAAAGGGAAAAACGCCCTTTAAGCCCAAAAAATTTGTAATCCTGCAATATTCCATCGAATTCTGGTCGCAGGCTTATGAGAAGTTATGATAAAGATTTTCTCCAAAGTGACAATATCAGAAAGTTTGAATGGAAGCCTTTTTTTATAAAACAAACTGTTGGTATGTATGATTAGGTTCTCAACTCTGTGTAACTTATGCTTATTTATAGTTGTTCATTCGCCATAAAATTTTTACTAGGCAGTTTTTCCTAGTTGGGATAGTTTTAGTACAAAGTTTATATAAAGCAAGAAAAAAAACCTTGCCCAGAGAAACAATTTTCTTAAAAATTACAAAACATTTGAAATCTTTGTACTTACTTAAACAATTTTTATTTTTGAAAACCCACGTATCGTTTAGATTTATTCTTACTTTAAACTTAGTTATATATTTATATAAATTAAACCTTTTAAAAAAGGGGCGCTGTTTGCCGCAATGCTTAAACAGTTCCAAAGCGTATAGTATCATACGACAAATGTCTTTAAAAATTTTAAATTAATAAACCATTCGTTATTAATTGATTTTTTCTCGTATTGCAGATAAACCCATCGAATCTCAGTCTATAACACAAGTTCCAGGTAAAATATCCATGCGAAAATTTATTAAGAGCATGCGACTGCTTGGCCTCATGGCAGCCTGGCTTTTAGTGCATTTACCCTTTCTGTCTCAAATATTTGTTCCTTTGAGCATAAATGCTGCATTATTTATTTCATTTATTTTCTGCTTAGGAAACAAAGCTTGCCATTCTTCTCAATTCTTCCTACCGGCGCAAATGATATAAACGAGCTTATTTAGTTTTAAGATTTATGGATTTCATTTTTTCATATGTTTTGCTACAATTTACTCATTCCATATTCGTCTTATACCAGGTAAGATTATGATTAGAAATGAATTCAGGTTTCACGTATCTCATAGAGGTACTGATATACTTATGTGGATCTCTACTTATTTCATATTGATTGATAAATGTACTTATTGCTGTAGTTTAAATATTGTTGCAATCAAAGACCAGGTCCAATTAAAAATTTAACAAATTTCTATGTTTAAACCAAAAATTAGAATGTTAAAAATATAAATTGAAATTTTTCTTTAAACGAAAACTGGGACCAATAATATATGTTAAGTTCCCACGTTTTTTTACGGTACAAATTGTATAGATTTCGTTACCAGGGAAGTTTAAGAAAACATAATGAATATAATTGATCAAACAAATTTAAAAAAAATATTTTTATATATTCTTTTAATTAATTAATCTTTTATGTAGATTTTTGGATGAAATGAAAAACCTTACATCAAAAGATTAATAAATTGAAAGAAGTAATTTGGTAATAGTTGACACTAAGTTCACAAGACATACCTATAAACACCAACAGCACAATGCTTCACAGTCAGCACCCGTAAGACGACCGAGGAAGACCAGTTACGTCAGCTTTTTTAAAAGTTACGAGGATGACTCAAGTTGGTAAACATAGACACTAAAGAGTGAACTGATTATTTAGCACTATGATTATGATGATTTCTTCTTTTCATTGAATCGAGTTTTTTCTCTTTATTTTCAAACGAATACATTTCTGGCTAATACCAACAACCTTTCTTCAGTTATCAAAACATTAATGTTATATTAGGTACAATTATATTACAGTTAAATAAATCATTTCACAACAAAACATGATCTAAGTGCTCACCTGACGATGTTTCGGCTTATCCTCGGTTTTCCTATCTTTTCTCTTTCGACGTGATTACTTACACATAATTCACACGTTATTTTTGTCTTCCTTTGACACATTTTAAAAATAATTTTTCTATAACTGTTTATTGTGTGTTTATATTGATTACTAAGTTTGTTAATTTCTTGCTGGATATTTACGTGTTTGTTATATTCATTTAATAATATATTTTGTAACCAGTACAATGTATTATTTTTACGTTCATTTTTAATAATAAAAAACAAAAATAACTTTTATTATATTTATTTTCTAGTGTAATATTGATACATGGTCAGGACACATCAAACGTTATATTACCATTCATTTAGCACATTAGTATTTTAATTATTAAATTCACTAGTTTTCGTGGTCCGCTTGATCAATTAATATCTTTCCATTAATTGAAAAGGAGGGAAAATTCAAAAATGCGAGGTTGAGGTGAGAAGTTGGTGTCCGAGTGGATCGATGTCACGATACCTCAAGTGTAGAGTAGCGGCGGATCAAGCCGAAGGTCGTGGGTTCGAATCTCGCTCGTGCCATTGACATTTTTATCTCAACTAGAAACCTTAATTAGTTGTAATGTATTAATTGGTCAAGCGGACCACGAAATTAGTGAATTTAATGATTTAAAATGAAGTATACTTCTCTAAAGCTCTCCGTGGCCATTTCATTTGTCGTCGAGGATCCAATTCGATTACACGACATTTGAAAAATGGCAAAAAGGTGGGATAATTCAAAAAGGTGCGGTTGAGATGGGAAGTCAACGTCCGAATAGATTGAGGTCACGATAGCTCAAGTGGTAGAACAGCGGCGTATCTAGCCGAAGATCATGGGTTCGAATCCCGCTCGTGACGATGACTTTTTTCTCAACTAAAAACCTTAATTAATTTTAATTAGTTTTTAAAACTTCAATTTGGTTAAAAAATTTTGCTTTTCCGTACATCGAATTATTTAAATGGATTTCAAGGTTTGGTACATTTTTTTCTGTAAACCTGTTTGCCGTAGAACAAAGTACACCTATGCAAATTTTATTCGAATTTTTACACCATTTTTTCTGATGGTTGTTCATTAAGAAGTAAATTTGGCAACACAACATGTGATATTCAGATGAAAAGAGATACAAAAGTCGTGAAATGATTAAAGAAGTTAACTTCCAGAATTGATAATTTAAACAATTTTTTGCACGCATTCGTAAAATAATAATATAAATAGTGTTGTAATTTTCTCGCATTTTAGAATAATTTCGTTTTTCCTTAACAATCCTAAAACAATTTATTATTAAAATTAGTTAATAAAATTAATTAAGTAACTTCAGATATGAGAAAACTTTAAGAACCCAGGTTACAAATACTTGGAAGACATTAATATGAATGTATTTAACTATTTTCAAGTTCATTTTTTTACGAGTAATTGTTAATTTAATGCAGTCTAAACATTCTATAAAAAATAATTATTCGGGATAAAACAGTTCAATTGTTTCTAATTTCTTCTTTGCCTGCCGAATAAAAACGTTCGAGAAGGAAAGGGTTTTTCGCCTGGCCTCTAGCACAAATTGTACGCTGGATGATGACTCGTACGACTCCCATTAATCTCAAAAGCTCCCGGAAAGACTTACGAGTTTGTGAGAGTCAAGCACTAAAATGAGTCTCTCTTTGGATTTACTCTTATATCTGTAATGTCGCTTTTCTAAGAGGACATTTATTCGTTTCCCCTTTAAAAAATAAAGCACACAAACAAAACGGTCGTGGTTGTGTGCGTTTTATTACTCAAGTGGAGTTTTGCATTTTTGACAAGGTTAACTTTAATTTGCGTTTTCAACAACACTGAGCATTTAGCTGACTTGTCTCGTTTTAATGAAACATAAAAAATATTTTTATTATGAAATGTGATAATATAGACGAGAAATAATTAAAAAACCACAGCTTCTCCGATATTGGACGACAGTTTCATCATTATGCAATGATTTTTTTTGCCAAATACGAGTGTTAGATAAGGTAGGACCATGAAACATGCGATTAGGCATGTTCCTATGTAATGTAAAAAACATAGGCTTCAAATTATTTCTCGGCGGACCTACCGTTAATAGCTGACTCGGTGTTGCCTTAATTTGGTCTTTCATCACTGTCTGAAATTGTCAAATGTAAATGATTATTAACCACACTAGCATTGTGGTTAATTTTGTGAATGGGCACATTGTCACAAAACCAAGGCCTTTTCTTGTATACTTATATTAACTTTATTTTAGGGATTTTTTACGGAGAGCTGCCAAACTGCTTTTTGGTAATTGCCAGCTCTCAATTCTTTCCTGTTTTCTTAATCATTCTACATTCTTTTAATGCTTTTCGAGATGATTTGTAATGTTATATGATATACAACGATAACCGACTCTCGCATATCTTTGTGCTATTTCTTCTTTCTGTAAATTGTGGATAAAATGACACAAATAACAAACATATACCCAAAACTTAATAAATATTGGGTTGTCCGGAAAATAATGCAGGATTTTAAGTTTTCATTAAAAAAAATCTATATAAAATATTCTGTTTACGTTTACAGGATTANTGGGAAATTATTTTGATTAAAGAACATTGCTTTAAAGTAACTAGTTTCTTTTTTTTTGTTTAATACCAAAATCCTGCATTATTTTCCGGACAACCCAATAAAATAAATGGTTTGGTTAGGAGTCACGCTACCTCAGAGTACTTGATAGTTTTCGAGATAATCGGAGATAAGCCGCTCCATTCACGCAAATACATACATTCTAACAAATAACCCATATTATATACAAAAAAAGGTATGAAGATTACGTACAATCCATTTATGTTTAGTAGTCTAATTGACCTTGTTGATTATTTCAATTAGTTATTCTTTTTATGTAAGACCTTGATTGAGATGAAAAATTTAGTGTCACGAGTGAGATTCGAACGTAAGTCCTTCGGTACAATACGCCGCTGCGCTGACCACTTGAGCTATCGTGACTTCGACGACCTTACATGAAAACCATAATCAATTGTAATAATTATGTACAATTAAAAATACTTATAATCCCGAGATAGTGGATTTACGAACTGTGCCTGCTCCTGTGCCCCAATGGTAGGTTTTCCTCTTTTTGTTAATATTTATTTATGTTAAATGTAGTCAATTACTGTTTTGTCATCTTATAGGATTTTAACGCTTTTAAATAAACAAAGCTCTTTTCTTTCAGAAGAAACATTTTAATTTAAAGTCATACTTCTAGGTCAACATAATGACATCCTTGGATATTATTTATTTATTTTTTTACGAGGGTTTGCAATAAAAAAGCTCATTTGTAAGGACGTCTTGTTCGAATGCAGGGCCGCTGGATTCGAACCCGGGATTTTTACCTTACAGTGACGAGCGCCGTATCAACGCCTGAACCGTTGCGGCCGCCGACGCCCTTGATGCCCTTTGATAATTGTTCCAATTATTTGTTTATCCCGGGTAATATTACCAGTGTTTCCAACAATATATAATTACGTAAAAAATATTATTTTCAATCTTAAATAAACATGAAATATATTACGTATTTAAGCTATTGATTTGCAAAGACATTAAGTAAATGGGTAATATAAAACTAGGTTCATGCAAATAGGCCAATCAAATGATTTCTTTATTATGTATTAAACGACGGATTATACATTAACTACATCCAAAATTATAATTATATTTACAAAGTAAATTTAATTATTTTAATTTGTAAAAAACATTACCAATTAACAGTACTGATGAATGTCCAACTCCATTGAAACTCTATATTTTATTAACGTTTAAATAAATCTTTCATAAAATCCTGACAAGTCAAATTAATTGGCTGTATACAATTTTTGTTCTCGGCCCATTGTGAAAATTAG